AATGAAAATGTAGACTAGAAGACTACTGATACCGTAGTCATCCTAGGCTACTACTACATGATGTTTCAGAACAGAAGTATGGGGATAAAAATATTAAATAACTCATAAAACACCATAAAATCATAGTACTGTACTTAAGTCTTTCTGGTAATAATAACAATGATAAAAATAAGATAAAAATGATGTAAAACACCTCTTATTATTTCACTTTGTTCTATTCTTTCTTTGGTTTCTCTACATCCACAAGTTGTCATGGTTACTAATCACCCAACGACCCAACCACAAAATATTGTAGTGTTGTGACAGCAGACAGAAGCAGACGATTGTCAGTATGTCAGTGTCAGTGCAAGATTGTCAGTCTGTAGGTGCGAGCGTATAGGTTGACCTTGACGATACTGATCGATATTTCTCCGTTTTGCTTCCATCTTATTTTTGTTAAATGAACTGTAATATTTCAATAATTGGGAACCTACTGCACATAAAAATTACCGTAAATAGTTAAATATATCGTTCATATCGAAATATAAGACTGAAAAACACAGTTAATAAAACATTTTCTTGGGATTTGTGAGGTTATATAATATATAGGCATCATGATGATGCGACTCCAGTTAAGCGAGGTTCTACTGTATTTGCAAGTTAAAGTTACAAATAGAAAACCCATTATATGGTTTGTATTCAATGACCGATGTATTATACAAAATAAATTATAACTTATTTTGATATTAATCAGCAGCATTTATTACAGCTTGCAGCACTTATTGGTATATATAAATATCCCAGTTACTATTAGTAAAAAAAAAATAAAACACAAAATTGTGTGGCCATTCAATTTTTATAAACACAGTGTTAAACATTTGACTCTGCAGAATACCGGATGGTAAAGAGTGTTTGGTTTCAAGAAAATAAAATAAAAAATAGTTTAACCTGCTTTACTATTTATTTTGAAAAATAATAGATAGGAAACCATAAGGATAGGTTAGGTATGGGATTGAACTGAAATAATTGCAGGAAAACTTAAATAGTTAAGTCCACAATCTGTACATTGTTAGAGAGCGAGAGAGAGAGAGAGAGATAGAGAGAGAGATTTGATAAGGAATCTGAAAAGTAAACAACTAATCGTTTCTGGCGTTCGTTATATTGTACCCCCCTCCCCCCCTCCCGTATTTGCACTCGTGACCACTTTTTGTTGCTTCCTTATCATTCATCCGTCCCAAAATATAATTCCTGTAATAATTTGTTTGTAAAATTGAAATTATTATAAAAATATTTTATCTTTCGAATGTAGTTTCATGGTTATTCTTATCAGATAGAATAATATCGTTGTCATATGTAATAGTTACTCCTTCACGTTACGCGATTGCGTAAAAAACAGTTCCAGTATCTCGGACAAGATTCACGTATATTTCTCGAGATAAAGAAAATCCGTATAGTTCCCGGTCCGTGGAAACACTGTAAATACTAGGATAAAAATTATTGTATAAAGGAGAAGTTGACTAAAATTTCAACTGAAGGTAAAAAAATCAAAATAACTTAAAATATGAGATGATGAACGGGTAGGATCAAGATTCAACCAATTATAATTAATTAATATTCGACGATCCTTATTAGAGGTGCATCATATTTATTTGGAGTATGAACATGTTTAAACATTAACACGTAGTTAATCACTATCCCAACACAAATAGTAACAAGGAGTAAACGAAGGTTACAGACCGCTGGGTTTTACCGCTACAAAGTAGGGTAGGGTGCCGTACTGGCTACACTACTCCACGATAGAACACACGATGAGACAGTCTCCGCATTGGTATTGCAGTTACGCTTATCGACACAGGCAGCAGCACCGGTTTGCTGTTTTCATACGTATAAAGTGCACGGGAAGCCATACCTGACTGGCTTATGGGAGAGCTGACTGGCTTTCGGGCGGGTGACTGCCACACCGAGTAAATTACCAGCGCACTGACTGCCAAACCGGGTGGGCACAAAAGTATATATTTATATATATATTTATATATATATGTGTCCGTTAGCACGATAACTCGAGCAAAAATGATCCGATTTTGATGAAATTTGGTATAAACGTGTAAACCTACATTTTTTCGAACGAGTTCGCGATCCAGCATGATCGGACCATGGGAACGGGGGTTTACGGGGGGTTTTATGGGGTAAAAATAGGTTTTTCCCATTTTTGACCCTAAAAACACAAAATTTCACAATTTCTTTTTAAACCATTTTGTAGAGCTTAAAAAAACAAATAATTTAGTATATTGAAGCATTATTATGCGCCTAATTGTCATGGAGAAAATTCAAAAAAATTGCAATTTTAAAATTCTCATGTTATTCTTATGGACAATAAGTCAACTGTTGTAGTTTGCTTGTTTATGAACATATTTTGATAAAAGTTGGAAAATACATTAATTTCTTACTAAACCACAGTACCTTTTAATATTATACATAAAAAAAACTTTTTACCCTCCCTGTTGCAGCAAACCTAAGTACTTATTAAACTAATTCTGTTTAAATAGGGAATAAATGTGATATTTTTAAGGAGACATTTTAGTTTAAATCCAATCAGGCAAATGGAAATTCGCTAAGTCTGCAGGTTTGCTGCGGCGAGGGTATTATAATGTTGCTGAGGATTTAAGATCTATTCTATAATCCCGGTGTTCAAAGGAATAACAATAAAATTGGATGAGGATTAAATTCATTATCAGCATAACTCTGTGAAAAGCTTTCAGTGTTTTACAAAGTTATGTCAAAACCCAATTAAGGAAGGAAAATAAGGCACCTGGCCTTTCGAGCCTATTAAAATCTCCTGGAACAAAGAGAGTCAGTTAAGGTGTAAGCAAATAATGCTTTTAATTCGGTCGCTGTCAACGTTGCATAACCAATTTACTCTGAAAGCCTTTGAAAAATGAACTCGGCCTGATTGCGCTGAGCTTCTTACTGAGCTAATCAACTCTTTCTGAGATCGTCTGCCTTTCTTACATTGTCCTTTGATCCTTTTAATGCATCGGAAGTGTTATCTCAAAACCATTGTGAATATTGTCCCGGCTGTAATGAAAAATTTTGTTTAGTTGAAATCAAAGTTAGTTATTTATAGTTTGTGTGACCTTAAGTTTGCTAAAAATATTTTCATAATTTTAATACCAATATTTCTAGCGAAAATGTTAACCAAGTTGTAGGACATTAATAGTTTGTCTGATTAATTTCCACTATTACAAGTTACTATGTAAAATTCACATTAACATACTCTCTAAATTTTGAATGTTTCAAATTACTAATTTTGTTTACTAAAAAAGCCACTGACAAAACAAAGAAGCAATAAATATACATTAACTGATGATAAAAGTGGCAGAAAAACGTTGATATAAGACAAGTCCGTTCCGAGAAAATAATTTAAGCAATACATCAGGAAAATTTATAGTTCAGTATATCCTTGATTGCCCTTCATCACTCAGTGCTTTGTAAACATTGTTTTCGACGGCTTTACTCTGTATGTCCTACATAGTCGCCTTTTAGAAGATTAGAGAGTACAAAATATTTTTTATAGGTTTGATATAATACCGGTTCTTAATAATAAGCCAACAGAAATACTTTTATATATTGTAATTAAAAATACAGTATGAAATAAATAACTAGACACTAGACCCAATGTAGTTAATCTTTTATAAAGGTTTTAAAGGGAAAACAAATATATTTTAATACCAAATGAGCGTGACTTTATTTATAGATATAAAATAAAAACTAACTGAAAGAAATTTAAACACAAGTGACCAACCACTTTGGGTGATTATTCAGAAATGATCAGATGTACTGCAATTCTTTCTTCTTTCCTTACAAAACAGTCAATTAATTTTAACATTTAAGTATTAGTTACAGTAATTAATTACCAGAAAGCTTTAGCCATTATAAGGAAACAAAACACTCTGTCAAATAGTTTTCATCGACAATTACATATTCCTATTTTGATTATATATGTTTAGCAAAATTAAATTGTATTGATGAAAATCAATCCCTTTTAAGTTTGAAACTTATTTGTCTTTTATTTTATTCAATTACAAGATCACAATAGCTGTCTGAATCATTCCAAATTTAAATATATAAACAGAATAATTACATTTGGTCATATTGAAGGTTCAACAGCACCTGTGGTTAATTGAATAAATTTTCACTTTAATGACCCAGTGTTAATTTACCTACGTGTTTAATGTCAACACATAGTTTTAACTTTTGTTTAACTGTTTTAATGAAATATTTTATTTGATAATATTACAACTAAATAAAAATTGTATATTTCATAACAACTACTGAGTCATTGCATATTTGAGACAATGTTTGAAGTGCGAGATTTATCGAGCACCTCAAATGGTCGAAAATATCTACAGAGTATAGACCCACTTTCACTTGTGTTTTGAAGGTGTATTCGCTTCATACAAAGAATAAATATTTTCTTCATTACAAAACTCATAGAATTTGTTAGGTTATGCCTTCAATTTAAAGTTAATATTTACTTTAGTTGTTGAAAATTAAAACAGTTGATAAAATCAATAACATAAATTTGTTTGTTTTTGTCAGCAAAATCCCAAAAATATAGTAAACATTATTTTCGCATAGTAAACATTCTTTTGCCATAGTAAACAAAACAATGTAATGATAGATTTTCGCAGGTGATAAACAAAAAACTAAAACAGGCCATTTCACAGTAGTGTAGCAAAAACAGGTCATTTCACAGTAGTGTAGCGAAAACATGTCATTTCACAGTGGTGTAGCGAAAACAGGTCATTTCACAGTGGTGTAGCAAAAAATCTATTTTATTTTAGAGATAGTTAACAGTAGCTTTGTTTCTCTGTACTGTAATGCTTTTGTCAAAAAGTCTATGGTTTGTACTGTTCCTTTATAAAAATGTTTTTAAAGTAGCCCAAATACACAATATATATATATTTTTTTTCATAGATAGAAGATAACAAATTTAATTTATTTGAATTTATTTGTTGCAGATTTACAAGCTAACATGTGACACTGTGGTGCTCTTGTTAGAATGCAACCCAGACATGGGTTCGTTGCTAGATTGGGTTGTGGACCGTTGCTACACTGCCAAAGCTAAGGTTGCTGACGGTTGCTTTCTGGCCCTGGCTACCATCTTTAGTGCGCGGTAAGTCATAATTTCCTTGTTGCAAGCATTGTTCGTTGCTAGATTGGGTAGTGAATCGTTACTTTACTGCTAAGGCTAAGGTTGTTGACGGTTATTTTTTCGTTCTAGTAACCATCTTCCTAAATTTCCTTAATAAAAGTTTAAATTACCCTGTTATGGCCAAAACGATCTCGTGTGGTTTGAACAACGACTACAGCTGTTTCATGCCGCACATCATCAGGTTAGAATGTCAGCTGATTTTTAACTTTCCCGTTTGCTAACACTGTTGTACTAGATTCTGTAGTGGACCATTGTTACACTGCTAAGGCTAAAGTTGCCAACGGTTGTTTTCTCGCTGTAGCTAACATTTTCTGTGCACAATAAATCCTAAACTTCATTGTTGCAAGTATTTTTTCAACTTCAAAATACAATTATTTATCTATTTGGATTGGTAAACAAATGAGGAATTATAAGTTTTTATTTTGAGATGAATAGTTTTATTAATATACCATATTATTTTATTGTATTTCAAAATGATAAAAAAACCTTACTGAACATAACTTTATAATTTATTTTTAAAGGCTATCAACAACTAAAAACAATAATAATTTTAAAAACCAACCGTCAAAGTGCTATATTGTATTTTCCCCTATATATTGTATTTTCTTTTATTTCTGTAAACCATGAACATTACTCTCAATATTTGAGTCAATCAATACCGTAAGGAAACACAGACACAGATACGCCACACTGACCAGCGGTTACTGTATCAACTTGGTTAATTGGTGGTTATACGGTTAATTGGTTACAAATGTTTCTACGTGATAGTTGAACCTCAGTTGGTTACATTGTCACACTGACCAGCGGTTACTGTATAAACTTGGTTAAATGGTGGTTATATGGTTAATTGGTTATGACTGTATCTGCATGACAGTTGAACTTGGTTACGGTTAGGCTCCTTGGGTGATCTGATTGCTTAATAAACTTGTTAAATCATGAATTACAAAGAATTGTTTTTAAAATAGTTATACAGGGTGTTTTTTTAACGCAATTTTAATTACAAGTACTCTGGGACACTGTTTAACAACAAAACAAGCTCACAAAATGTTAGTGTCCTGGTTTTCTATAATTCATTGCTGATCAGCTGATAATTTGCATTGTTGCATATTTGTCTTTGACGTTTGGTGTTATTAGGATTTTATTGTAGACTCAACATAAAGTTTTTGCAAGCTCAAATAGAGTATCTGCAGTAGGTCAAGAATGTTTTTGTTTTAAAAAAATCCAATTTCGTTGAATTTTTGAAAAGTCTATAATAGTTGATTTATTTTATATTAAAATCACACTTGGATCCTTAGTTTCAATAAACAAGGCTTTTCAATAACATATTATTGTGTGAATAGAAGGAGTATACTAAAAATAATGTCAAGTTGGGGAAAACAAAATCAAAATTCATAACAAGATTTCATTACAGTTCACGTCAACAGCCAACCAGCGACAAATAAAATTGACGAGCTTTCAATTTGATGTCAGGAAGTCATTGCTTGTTTATTCAGTTGCTCATCATGGGTGACTGAATTAGTGATTTTAGTGACTATTATAATCAACAACATGATGCAAGTTACTAACAAGTCCCACTTCTTGATTTGATCCACAGTTTTGATTTGATTTGATTTGATTTGACTAACACTGATTTTAGTAAATATCCCATGTAGGGAATGTGCTATATTACTGTAGATCCATGATAAGTCTTAGACCCGGGACAGATTTTTTTGGTTTTTTTTTATCCTCAGAGGCCAAAAAACACCACCCATTGACATTCATCTGTTTGCATATACATTTATATGTACGTTAGCAAGATACTGTAACTCTAGTAAAAACCGATTTTTGATTTTTGGTACATACGTGTAAACCTACGTTTATTCAAATGATTTGTCAACCAGCATTTTTAGACTGGAAACAGGGTTTCAGGGGTTACCTCATAAGGAGTAAACTTTCCATTTCCACAATGGATAAAATTCCATTTTTTACAATGAAGTTTTCCAATATTTTACTGTCAAAACTAACACATTTCAAAATTTCTTTCTAAACCATTTTGTAGAGCTTTAAAGAACAAATAATTTTGTATATTAAAGTGTTCTTGTACAATTAATGGTCACAAAGAAAATTTAAAAAAAAAACCCTAAATTTAAAATGTTTAAGTCATTTTTATGTTGTAGTTTGTTTGTTTATGGTTATATTTTGATAAAATATGGCGAGCTTATTTATCTCATACCTATTACCAATTTACAAAAAAAAAACACTCTTTACTACTTCCATTGTAGCAGCAAACATTTAAGCACTCGTTAAATCTAATATTATTTAAATAGGGAATCCATCTGACATTATTAAGTAGGCCTAAATATTTTAGTGAAAATCCAATGAGGCAAATGGAAATAGTCTGCAGGATTGCTGCAGCAGGGGTATTTTCAAGTTTTTGAAAAGAGCAAATGTGGTCCATGTTGCCATAATTTGTTCCAAAGTTACAAATAAAGATGTTTACAGCAATTTAACCTTGCAAAATTAAAATTAATGCTCAAAACATCTATAAAAGATTATTTCAATACAAGAAAATGTAAAAACTTTACATTGAAAATTTTTTTGTCTACAGAGTAAATGTAATTATTGTTCACGATTCTATTTGTCAACTGCAATGTAGCTGTAATTACTACAAGGGGGTTTCCCAGTTGCACAGTTTTTACTGGACGATTTCGATCAAGAACAGCTTGAGTTGAGCTTGACATTTGCCAGCTACAAACCTTGCCTGGTAAATGAATTTTAGAGTTAATGAATTAGTATTCTCGACAAAACAAATTAATATTGATGTATTTAGCAAATAGTATAAACAGGCACATTCCCTATCTGCTAAAAAGTTTTTGTGGTAAGAAATAGACCCGGGTCTAAAATTAACATGTTTTGACACCTTGTAGGCCTGTTGATGGTTTAACCTAAGAATTGAAACTAGTTGCCACTATAGTAACCGAGAATTGCTATGCAGGAATTGTAAACAATTTAAGATAAAATTTAATATTCCATTTCATCAGTACAGATTTACCAAAACTTAGGTTTTAAAAGCTTGAACTCATCGGAAAGTGTTCAAAATAATTCTATAGATAATAGCAACACTAGACCACAGTAGACAATGCAATATAAATCTTGCTTACGTTTCCCTAGAAGCTTCAGTCTTTCATTGCCAACCTCTTGTCTCCGAGCGTACAATAAACTGCTGTGGTAATCCTCGACTTTATTTTATATTTCTTCAGAGTTTTAAATTTTTTTTATTTTTTAAACTATTTTTTTCAAATTAATTCACTATTTTAAATTGGATACAAAGTTCTTATTTATCTTCCAATTTTTACGTATTGATTTCATATTATGAATATGATGCATTTATGTCTTTAATCGATTAATTGATTTAAATTCTGCATAGAAAGATATATTAATAATTTTAAGTTTATTATAATACTTTCAATATTTGTTCAGATAGGTTTAATTTCTTGTCATGGTCAATAACTGATGTATTATAATTAATTCCTCACTAACAAAGAAGAGATAAAGTTACTTAAAATAAAAATAAGAATAAAAAAATGAAAACAAAAACATTTTAACAGACAGGGTTCTAAGTGTAAACAAATTGCTATTGGCAAAATTTCCCTATAAAATAGGGAAGAAGCTATTACTGTGGGTCGTAATGGTAAGACAATTGGTAAGACAACCCGTGACCAAATTACTTTTTCATTTTGGTGTCCCAAGAGGCCAAAAAACCACCAGTATTCATTTAAATTTGTATATATGCATGTTTTTGAACAAGGTAACTCGAGCAATGATGGTTAGATTTTGATGAAATTTACACTTGAATGAGTTTGCGAACCAGCAAAATTGGGTCTTGGAAACAAGGTGTTATTAGGTTTAAAACTTTTAAAAAATAGTTGTTTTCAATTTTTTACTTAAAACCATGAAAATGCCCAATTTTTACTACAACCATTGTGTATAGCTTAAAAAATAAATAATTTTGTATATTAAAGTGTGGTTGTACAACTAAAGGTTACGGAGAAAATTAAAAAAAAAAAACTGTACATTTAAAATTTTTTGGTAATTTTTACGGAGAAATATTAAACTGTAGTAGTTTGGTTTTGTTAATTGATTTAATGTGATCAAATTTTCCAAATTTATTTATTTTTTAATATATCTATAAACAACATGTTTTCCTTCCCTATAACAGCAAACTAAGGTACTTATTTAACCTAATATTATTTAAAAGGAAATAAATTTGACATATTTTGGGAAATATTTTTGTAAAAATCAAATGAGACAAACGGGAATTCGCTTAGTCTGCAGGATTTCTTCCGTCAGGGTATTTTTACGTAAGTTTTGATATAAAATTCAACAATTGTTTCAATTGATACAAATAATTTTTGACCTAATACATCCTTACTCCTATTTAGGCCAATGCTGATTCACACAATGGACATTTAAAGCAATAAATTACATTAGCTGTTCCGACACAGATTGCACCATAAAAAAGCAATTGTCATGACACATAGAGCAACAGCCTCGGGCAGTATTTCATTTTTATAGCTGTAAACACAAACTGTGAGTAGATGGGAAGAGGGTTTGTAGGTTCAAAACCATTCGTCTTCGGATAAAACACTATGGCTGACGTCTTCGTTATGTGAAGAATTGTGTGGGAAATTAGTGTAAGTCGTTTCATAGACTTTCGTTAAATTTTTGGGGAATTATACATAGTCAGAGTCAAAGTCATCTTTATTGTCACATACTTAGCTTGGTGGATATTTTTCTCCTGTTCACATGGTGTTCATTTGATTCAAGTTCCTTAACTGTTACCTAATATTATACAGTGTGAATGGTTGAAATTTGCGAATTCGTTTGAGTGGTAAAATCTTTACTCGGTTCAAAAGTGATTGAATCTTTGACATGAAAATAAATACCACAGAACCTTTTGAACAGCCTACCTTATTACAAAT